TCTCAGGGCGGGGGAAGGAGCTGCCTAGGGCGGAGGCGCCTTCGCCCCTGCGGGCACCGGGAGCTGAGCTGGGGGCAATCAGGGTGCGTCAGACCCGGGTCTTGGATACCCAGCGCTGCGGCCTCTGTACCGGCGTCTGACAGCGCCGAGAGACGCGGGTCTAGTGTTATGGAGTCGCGTCCTCGGCCTCGTGGAGGTGGAGGTGAGCAGCGTCCACGTGACCTGCCTTTAGCCCCTGCCTCTCCCAGAACCGCATAAAAAATACTTGAATACTCCCTCCGCAGTGAAAAATACCTGACTTCTAGGGTGGTGTATCCTTAGCTCTGATTAAACCGGCTTCAAGTCCATCCTGTAGTGATGTGATGCATTTTAGTTTTTATCATCCTTATTTGTTATTTTTTCTCCTGTCACAGTGACAGCAGAGAGTTACAGCTGAAGGGATACCTTAACTCTGTGTTGCTTAGTTGGGTTTCTTTTAAATGTAATGTTACTTTAGGAGTTCTTGGTTTAGGCTTAATTACTGCCTTCCTCTGTTATATTTTTACCCTTCTACAGAGGAGGATCTGGAGGGTTATAGTAGATCATGGGCTGAACGTGAGCGAAGGAAGCCGGGCAGTAGCAAAAATTAAAAAATAAAAATAAAGTCAACACTGCACTGGGATGTACAAATCAAAGTGTACTGTATAAGACGAAACTAATTTTTCCAAGTTATTTTACACGGGTATGGCCTCAACTGGAGTACCAGTCTGAAAGAAAGATGTGGGCCTATTGGAGAAAGCCCAGAGGGGACCAGAAATTAAAATAGATAGTTTAAAAAAGGCTGTAGGGGTCTCTTTTATTGGAGGTTTTTAAGAGCAGGTTACATGAACCTCTTTCAGGAATGGCCCTGGTCCAGCTGGTCCTGCCTTGCAGCAGATGCACGAGATGACCTCTCATTTAGTAAATCTGCCTGCACCAACATCCATACACCAAGACACTCAGAAAAAGCAATCTATAAAATTCCTAGTGATTTTATAACACATAGTATCCACTTTAAATCTTTGTGGGTTCATTACTACAGCAGAGTGACCAGAGCACCCAGCCAGTTAAATTCTGCTTTGTTGCTTTGCATCACTAGAGCAACTAAGCATACAGTTAATCTGCCCCATAATTTATAGTTATTCATTTAAAGGGCTGTGTTTAATGAGACTTATTCATGAGTGAAGGTCAGGAGAGCCTAGATCAGGGGTGTCCAACCTTTTTGAATGTGGGGCTGGATCAGGAACTTTTTATCACCCAGGGGGCAGGTGAGCCATATTCAAAGACCTCACAGAAAGTGACATCACATCAGGAAGTGATGTCACGTGACCTTTGACACCAATGAAGTTGCAGGAAGTGACAATGAAATGGGTCTGCTCCGCACGGGAACTTACCCCATGCCTCCGTCCATCCCAGCCTGGCCCTGAGGCGTCCCCAGCTCCACACAGGAACTTACCCCGTGCCTCCAGCCAGCCCCAAGGCGCCCCCAGCTTCACGTGGGAACTTACCTTGTGCCTCTGTCCACCACGCATGTGGGCAGGGCACGGGCTATGCTGCAGCTCTGCCAGCCACGTGCTGGGGGCAAGGGGCGGAGCCTGTCCCCAGCTCGTCCAATCAGGCACAGGTGGGGCAGCCCCACTCCACGTGGCCCTCGGGGCAGCTGTGGCAGGACCTGGCTCACTGATGAGCCGGGCCCCACGGGGGGAAGTGGCTCCCCTCCCCTCGCTGCCGGCTGGGGCCCGCGGGCTGGCCCTGCCTGCCTCGCCGCTGCCCCGCAAGCTGCCGCTGCCCCGTGTGCCGCAGCTCTGTGCTCCGCAGTGGCGGTGGCAGTAAAAATCACTTTGAACATAAACCACTAGTAGATTTACTTTAAACTCTTAGAAAAGTTCCTTAGAAGAGCTCCTCAAACCCACAGACCACTATCCCATGCTCCTAATTCATGTGGGCACCAATGACATGGCTCGGAGGGCTTCCAGTCGGGTCATGAGGTACTAAAGGGATTTGGGAGTGTGGCTGGAGTGTCTCGGGGGGCAGGTGGT